ATAGTACACATAAACCTGTGTTCTACAACCGGTCATCGTTACATAGGATGGTATAGGCCTTGTTAAAGACATTTTAAGGGTGTAAGAACCTTCCGGCATTCCTTCATACGGACCATCCCTCCATACCCCCATGGTTGCAGAATGCAGTCCCATAACTGCGAAAAAACTCCTGTAGGCCATACGCCGTGGCCTCGAAGGGTACATTCCGTACCTTCACCCATGTGAAGTACTTAGAAACATCATGTAACACAACATCCATCGCTGAATTCACACTCATTCGTTGTTCCTGGTACTGCTCGACAATTCTTGTGTAGAAGCCGGCTCTTAGAAATTTCACGAAGATTCTTGTCAAACCATTAAGAGCGACGCCATATAATTCCTCGTTGGGGATACCATATGTATCCCTGATGATGTTAGGGAGAAGTACGTTCATCGTGGCCCGGTGGCCTGGTGGCTAAAGCTCCCGCTTCACACACGGAGGGCCCGGGTTCGATTCCCGGCGGGTGGAAACATTTCGACACGTTTCCTTACACCTGTTGTCCTGTTCACCTAACAGCAAATAGGTACCTGGGTGTTAGTCGACTGGTGTGGGTCGCATCCTGGGGGACAAGATTAAGGACCCCAATGGAAATAAGTTAGACAGTCCTCGATGACGCACTGACTTTCTTGGGTTATCCTGGGTGGCTAATCCTCCGGGGTTAAAAATCCGAACGAAATCTTATCTTATCTTATCGTATCTCCACTTAACGTACCACGAACCAGCTCTATGCAGATAGTATTTACTCTCCGTACTGTATGTTCAGCCATTTTGATATCCCAAAATGAGCAGCGCACGTCCTTACTATGCAATGGTTGTTGATGTACTGTGGTAGCTCGCCTGAAGACAGCAGAGGGGTGCAGAGCACAACCGCACTCCACCGTGGTCAGGCAGCGAATTATGTGTTGATCTGTATATGTATAATTATATTTTATAATACTAACAATACCTAGTTATACATTCCCTAAAAAACAAATTATACTTTTTGCTAGTCTTTCTTTGGAAGAAACAACCTGTAAGTATAAAAGCTATCTCCTAAAATTTAAGCCTATCCTAATACTCATGGCCAGCCACAACCTGACACACAACAGCCGCAGTGTCAACCTACACTGCTTTATAATAATAATAAAATAATAATAATAATAATAGTAATAATAAAATATCTATTTCTACAAATACATGTACATGGTATACAGGCCTAGCTGACATCAATGACATACTACTATACAGAACTGCTTGTTATGCAGAGCATTTCAGGCAAATTAGGTCAGTTTTGTCCCATTTTATACTGATGGGTGAACATAAGCAAGTTTATTCAGGTATACACAAATGCAGTTGCATAGATTATCATACATAGCAGTATATGTGTAGAGAACCTAGGATAATCCAAAAAAGTTAGACAATGACTATTTCCATTGGACAGCAGGTGTCTTGTGGAAACACGTCCCTAATGTCTTTCCACTAATGTGCACGTCATTATGTCATGCACGTAGTCACTACGGCCGTGAGTACGTAGTCTACGGTCGTGCGCATTTAGTCACTACGGTTATGTGCACATAGTCACTACAGTCGTGTGCACGTATAGCCACTATGGTCAAGTGCACGTAGTCACTATGGCCATGTCCACGTACAGTCACTACGGTTGTGCAGTCACTACAGTCACGTGCACAGTCACCAAGGTCATGTACACGTAAGTTAATATCTTTATTATGCACCCCATACCCATCCACTGGGCGGTAGTTAGAGATTACAGAGGTACATAATGGGTCCAGGGACTGGGCCGCAAAGTTTTGATAGCTGAACAAGTTACAAAGGTAATTAACCATACACATGTTTACACCTGATCACAGATGCAGCGAGTTATTAATGCAAATGTTCGCTTTATTTACTATGAGCAAAATCAGGGTATTTTTCCAGAATGGTTTGTAATATACCTCTGTGGATAAAATACTTTGACATTTCTTGAACATTTCTGAGTGAATTCTCTGAATTCATTAATTTAATCGCATTCCAGTACATAATGACCCAAGGTGTGACAATAGTCCATCTGGCAAAGTTTACATTTCGTTTGGTCTACCCCTGATGGTACAGCTGGTAGTGCTGCTGTTGTCAGAGTGATGGCTCTCAAAGAAATTGGAGCACGCATCAATAACTGGGTGTCTACCCTTGAAACAACTGTTTGCCATACTCCTAACGCTCAAATACGTCCATGTATCAAAGTTTGACACTTGAACTAACTGATTATCTATCTATAAATGCTCTCAACTCATTAAGTATATATTGTGACATGTGCACGTACAGTAACTACAGTCATGTGCACGTACAGTAACTACAGTCATGTGCACGTACAGTAACTACAGTCATGTGCACGTACAGTAACTACAGTCATGTGCACGTACAGTAAACTGCAGTCATGTGCACGTACAGTAACTGCAGTCATGTGCACGTACAGTAAACTACAGTCATGTGCAGTACAGTAACTACAGTCATGTGCACGTACAGTAACTACAGTCATGTGCACGTACAGTAACTACAGTCATGTGCACGTACAGTAACTACAGTCATGTGCACGTACAGTAACTACAGTCATGTGCACGTACAGTAACTACAGTCATGTGCACGTACAGTAACTACAGTCATGTGCACGTACAGTAACTACAGTCATGTGCACGTACAGTAACTACAGTCATGTGCACTCAGGTTCACACAGATTCAGCTTCCAAAATTACTGAAGCAATCATACTAAATTCATTTGTCGATATAGGTCAATTATCAGGCTCACGAAGAAACACTAAACCAGGAGGGGTCGTACAGCGCCTGTGAGAACAGGTTTCATGCAAAGGGACGGGGGTAGCTTCAATTCCCTGGATGAAGAGCACCTCACCGGCGTCTAGGAACCTCCCTTTGAAGAAGTGATTTGACCGAAGTTCGAGCCTCAATTATGTCATCATGTGTCAGCCTGAACCAATATGGAGTAGTACAACGCTCAAGGGAATGCGGGGGTATTCAAATTTGAGCTAAGGAACGGGAGGGTGGCTCCAATTCCTTGTATCACGAGGTTTTCATCAGCATCAAAACATCAGCACTGAAGGGAGAACTTTATTACAGCCAGGCTTTCGTCAAGGCAGCTACACCCAGCATCCAGAACTTCTTACAGAGATGACTAACATCTAATTCTGTGAAATATGTTTAATGTAATGAATGCCGACTCATGACTGTCCACAACCCAATGTTTCGCTCCGTTGTAGGTTATTATCAAGGCTCTTATGAGGCTTCGATATTAAGAACATAATAAAGAAGGAACACTGCAACAGGTCTACTGACATTGTTCGAGGACGGACAGAAACGTCTAATTTGAAGACAAATTTATGGGTTAGTTGTGTAATTTTTTCCAGCCCGTTTCATGACTTGTATTTTGCGAGTAAACTGCCCCAGTTTACTTCCCGTATTATCAGATGACAATCATCTTATCCTGCACCTAATATTGTTAACATTTTCATGACCGGGAGAAGACTGAGTTATGTACTAGAATTTTAACAAATTAAGTCTCAGTAAATTGGTCGAAAGCAAGAGTCATTGCCTCTTACTCCTCTTGGCTTGAAAGGAATATTGTAATAATTGTATCTAGACCCAATTCACCAACAGTCACTCAGTGGTACACAAATTTCGCCAAGAGAAAGGGTGTTGATGGACAGGAAAAGGTATGGAAATATGAAAAATAATCTCGACATATTTCTGGGTTTTATAATTTTTTTATGTACACGGGACAGTGCATAAGTTGCGCTAAAATGGCTTAGTCCTGGTGGCATAAACCATTAACAGAACACAGTGATAAACAAGAGCTAAAATTGTGTATCTATTTGATAAAAGGCGCATCCACATGGACTGAAGTTGCACTCAAGCCTAAACTATAGAATAATAATAATCTTTATTTCTACGAGTACAAGGTATACAGGCCTAGCTGATATCAATGGCAATATTATATAGAACGCCCCTTTTTATGCAGTGCATTTCGTGCAAATTAGGTCTTAACCCAGGATGCTACCCACACCAGTCGACTAACATCCAGATACCCATTTTCAATAGTGAAATCGAATTCACTGCAGAAAAAAAAATAAATGGCTGAACTCGAGGTTCTCTATTATTAAATATTTGGTAAAGTAGGGAATGCTGCCATAGCTCTCAGAATACTACACATTCATGATTTCGGATGTGTAAGACATGTAAATATCGAAGGCAGACAAATTGTTACCCACCTGATTAGCTTGTCTTCCAAAGCATATTAATAAATACATGTTTAAAATAGCTTATACCCAACACCATCTTGATAACTGTCCCCCCATTCTGAACTTGATATAAAATCAAATCTCTTACAAAGCAACATTGTCAAAACTGAAATTCTAATTCTAGGTACAATAAAGAATTCCTAAACACTGGCACTTTGAATGGTTTGTAATTACTGGTTTTGTCTTGATCTACAATTAATAGTCGGTGTTGCTATACCATCTAACGTACACAAAGATTGACGAGACAAATAACTCTAATGTTATTTCACTAAATTAAACCAGTAAGTCAGTTTTAGTCACAGGTACACATACCTGGAGTTTACCTGGAGAGGGTTTCGGGGGTCAACGCCCCCGCGGCCCGGTCTGAGACCAGGCCTCATGGTGGATCTGGGTCTGATCAACCAGGCTGTTACCATATAAATTACCTGGGATAACCCAAAAAAGTCAGTGACTTATTTCAATTGGGGTCCTGGATTTCCATAATTTCAGATTAAAACTTCGAAACTAAAAACCCGTTATACAGGAGAAACTTCTACTTTCGGACAGCTCCATTTTGTCTCTATTATATATTAAACATACAGGTTGTGCCTCACCAGCTGTGTAACATGCGAGGTCAAACCTGGTTACAACCACCTGAAGTTAATGACCTACATCGACCAGCATCCACCTAGTCTTACCTTGTTGATGCTCCATTATTGAGACTGAAGGAAGTCTGTTTGATGCTGTCCACATCTGTCTGCCCTACCAGCATCCGTCAGTCCAGTAATACAGACGACATAAAGTGAAAGTTCTCCCTTTTGCTGAAATTATGAAACTAACACTGAAGTAACCAGACAGCGAGGTACCCAGGGCAGCCCCGCTGCCAATGACTGTTTACCTTCACTGGTTCACTGCGCACGCGTGTCGTACCATCTCATTTATTAGACATTTCTTCAGGTTTAATACACTGTAAGTGTAGTTATAAAAATACAAGTAATGACCTGGTGATATGTAATCTCATTCTTCGACAACTAATAATAATATTTAATAGGTTAATTAATATCAGTGAACTAAGCCTTGGTAAGATGCAATCAAATCACAAACTATATTATGAAAGCTACTGGAATTTGTTCTAATTATTATTTTCCTTTTTATTCCCCTTTTTTTTTATCAGTGCCAAAAACCCATATTAGCGCCCAAAAATTCTGGAGTTGTGAGATTCTATGTTGATGTTTACATGCCATGATCAAATCATTTAATACAGCATAATACCTGGAGTTTACCTGGAGAGAGTTTCGGGGGTCAACGCCCCCGCGGCCCGGTCTGTGACCAGGCCTCCTGGTGGATCAGCGCCTGATCAACCAGGCTGTTGCTGCTGGCTGCACGCAAACCAACGTACGAGCCACAGCCCGGCTGATCAGGAACTGTCTTTAGGTGCTTGTCCAGTGCCAGCTTGAAGACTGCCAGGGGTCTGTTGGTAATCCCCCTTATGTGTGCTGGGAGGCAGTTGGACAGTCTCGGGCCCCTGACACTTATTGTAGGGTTTCTCTTAACGTGCTAGTGACCCCCCTGCTTTTCATTGGGGGGATGGTGCATCGTCTGCCAAGTTTTTTTGCTTTCGTAGTGAGTGATTTTCGTGTGAAAGGGTTTGTACTAGTCCCTCTAGGGTTTTCCAGGTGTATATAATCATGTATCTCTCCCTCCGGCGTTCCAGGGAATACAGGTTTAGAAACCTCAAGCGCTCCCAGTAATTGAGGTTTTTTTATCTCCGTTATGCGCGCCGTGAAAGTTCTCTGTACATTTTCTAGGTCGGCAATTTCACTGCCTGAAAGGTGCTGTTAGAGTGCAGCAATATTCCAGCCCAGATAGAACAAGTGACCTGAAGAGTGTCTCATGGGTTGGCCTCCCTAGTTTTGGAGGTTCTCATTATCCCTCCCGTCATTTTTCTAGCAGATGCGATTGATACAATGTTATGGTCCTTGAAGGTGGAGATCCTCCGACATAATCACTCCTAGGTCTTTGACGTTGGGGGTTTCGCTCTATTTTGTGGCCAGAATTTGTTTTGTACTCTGATGAAGATTTTAATTTCCTCATGTTTACCATATCTGAGTAATTGAAATTTCTCATCGTTGAACTTCATATTGTTTTTTGCAGCCCACTGAAAGATTTGGTTGATGTCCGCCTGGAGCCTTGCAGTGTCTGCAATGGAAGACACTGTCATGCAGATTCGGGTGTCATCTGCCCAAAAGGGAAGACACGGTGTGTGGCTGGGCATCCTTGTCTATGTCGGATATGAGGATGAGGAACAAGATGGGAGCTAGTACTGTGCCTTGTGGGACAGAGCTTGTCACCGTAGCTGCCTCGGACTTTACTCTGTTGACGACTACTCTCTGTGTTCTGTTAGTGGGAAAAATTTTAGATCCATCGACCGACTTTTCCTGTTATTCCTTTTGCGCGCATTTTGTGCGCTATTACGCCATGGTCACACTTGTCGAAGGCTTTTGCAAAGTCTGTATATATTACATCTGCATTCTTTTTGTCTTCTAGTGCATTTAGGACCTTGTCGTAGTGATCCCGTGTTGAGACGACAGGAAACGACCTGTTTAAAACCAGTTGCCTGGGTTGTGTAACTGATGGGTTTTTCTAGTGGGTGGGTCTTGTTCTTGGGGACCCCTTTAAAAGATTTTTAGTAGGGGATGTTATTGTTTGGTCTGTAGTTTTTTGCTGTTGCTTTACTCCCCCCTTTGTGGGTGGGGCTTGTTGTTGTTTTTAGTAATGGGGGACGCCCCGTGCCCCATGCCCCCTCCCCATAGGATGAAAGGCTCGTGATAGGGGCTTCTTGCGTTCTTGATGAAAAGGGTTTCCCATGAGTTGGCCCTGGGGCAGGGGTGCATGGGCATGTATTTTCCCCTTTTCGAAGTCTTTGGCGTCGGTAACTCGGTGGGCTTTGTTTAGTCAAATTTTTTGTGGCTCTCTCTAAAAAATTCATTTTGGTTTCGACTCCAGCGGGTTTAGCGGCTTGCTAAAAACTGAGTTTTTTGGGATTGATAGCACTTTTTCCTTGCTGTCATCTGTGTAGGCCCATCTTGTTTAAGTGGGGGCCCCCAATATGGACTTTGTTCTCGATTTTATTTGGCATGGAGAAAAAATACTTTGGGTTTTTTCGTTTCATTTAGGGTTTTTAGTTTTCCCGCGATTCCGATCCTAAGGATTTTTTAGCTTAAGTTGATGCTTCTATTTCTCTGCCCAGTGTCTCCTGCGCATTTAGTTTTAATTGACCTCTTTTACCCCCCTTTTTATTTTTTTTTTTTTCCGTGCCTGAAAAGGGAGCGCCTGTCTCTTTCTATTTTACATCTACTCCCCCTTTTTTCTTAGGGGAATAACCCTTTGCTACATCGAGTGCCACCGAGTTAATCTGTTTGGGCATAAGTTTGGGTCTGGTTGCTTAGTATATTTCCCAGCTTAATCGGTTGGGGATTGGGTTTCTTGGTCCCACTTTATGTTTTTGTTTTTAAAGTTAAATTTGGTAAATGCCCCCCTCATGACTAGTCTCATTTGTGGGTTTGGGGCTCCTGCATACTGTCTTGAACCTCAATTATGTTGTGATCGAGTATTTTGTTTTTGTTATGGTGCATTTTTATCGGGTATCATTGTTAGTGAAGAGAGGTTGTGTTTCCCCCAGTCTTGTAGGCCTATTATTTGCTGGTTTAAAATTTGAATTTTGTGCGAGATTTAAAAGCTCGTGTGAGGTGGTTTTCATCAGAGCTGCCTCGGGTGTTATTTCTGCAAAAATTTATTTGCTAATTCCCCCATTTTAGGTCCCTTTAAATTTGAACCCCCCAGGAGCAAGTTTGGGTGCAGGAGCGGGAAGTTTTTCCCAGACGTGGTCTTTTTTAAACAGTGTTCCTGGATTGCGGGGTGTTGCATCCGGAGGGTGACTACCACAATGATGGGTTTTGGTTTCGACCTTTATGCTAAAACTTCCATACGTCTTTTGGGGCATTAAGCAGTTCTGTGCAAACAAGTGTCTGCAATGTACGGCCAACCCCCCCTTTTCCCCTTTTCACTCTTTTCAATCTGAAAAGGTTGAAAACCTGGGACCCATACTTCGTGCCCAAGTGCCTTTAGTGGGTCTCATGAAAGCCGCGAACTTGCCTTTGCCTCTGAAGAGCCCACGGATAAAAGGTATTTTGTTGTTTGTAGCTGGTTTTTGCCCCGTTATTGCAAAGAGGTTATGGGGACTGGGGGTTTTTTTGGGTCTGGGGGGGGTTTTTTTTTCCGGCATTGTATCTGTTCTGTTGGTTGGAGTGGGGGCCCATCGGCTGGGTTCACTCCAGGGAATGAGGATTTGGTGTCGATTTCTGCATTTTTGCCAGTTTTTTTTCCTTCCGGATAAAAAAAATCTCCCCCTTGAGGGCTTGGTACCCCCGGGTTTTCCCCGGCCTGGTGTTTTGATCTTTTTGTCCCCTTTTGATGGTATGCCTGGCAATTTAAGTTTTGCACGTTTTCCTGTTGAAGAGGTACATTTCAGGGTGAAAAAAACTTACAGGAAGGGAGTTTGCATTTTTCCCGTTTTTATGGGCATGGGATTTTCTGGGTGGTCATGTTTCAGTCCCCTTGTTTTTCCAGATTTCCCCTGCCCGAATCCCAAATGCCCTAGTAGTGACAGGTTGGTTTCGCTTTTCCTTGGGTTTCTGTGACTGTATTCCCCGTTGGTGCATGTTTCCCCGTCTTACTTCTCTCCCTAGCACCAACAAAGGAGCTCCCACCCGTTGTTTTTGGTAAAATTTTCCCACTATTGTATTGGAGTCCTTTGTTTGCATTTCCTGCGGTATTTTTTGTTTGCAATATTTTTTTTTTTTTATCTTTGACAATTGTTTCCCTTATGGCTCCCGTCCCCCTTGAGGTCTTTATATGTATTCCTTCCTGCGTTAATTCCCCACTCCCCGGACAATTCTCCAGTTCACCTTTTTGTCTCCGGACGTATCCCAGCTTCCCATTTCGTTCCCAGGAAGCACCCCAGCTTACCATTACGTTCCCAGGCAGTATCTCCAGCTTCCCATTTCTGTCCCAGGACAGCACCTCCAGCTTCACATTTCTGTCCCCAGGACAGATCTCCCGCTTCACCATTTCTGTCTCCCAGGACAGCACCTCCGCCACCATTTCTGTCTCCCCGGGGGCCCTCCAGCTTCACCCTTTCTGTCTCCAGGACAGCCCTCCCGTTCACCATTACTGTCTCCCAGGACGCCCCCCGCTTCACCCTTTCTGTTCCCCGGACAGCATATCGCCCCAATTTCTGCTACCCGGACATCACCCCCAGCCTTTCAGTTATGACTACATGGCCAGTATCAAGGCAGTCCCTTCACCCAGAATTTTTGTTCCCCTTGTTGTAGAAAGCTTCCCGGGTTTTTTTGAAAAAAGCTTTGATGTTGTCCTCTTTTATTTTCCCTTTTGATTTAGTCCCAGTTTTCCTATTTTAGCATACCAAAAACACTTCTCTGTTTTAAAAACTGCTTGTAGCTAGTTTGGGGGTATCTGCACAAGGGGGGGTGACACCAAATTTTCCCCCAAAAAAGACAATTATCCATGTGGAAGCCTTTGTTTGACTGACACAGACTACACAGGGCTTCATAAGTTTGAAAGGGTTTATTTACTGCAATTTACTAGCAACCTCTTGAAAAATTTTAAATAACCTTAAAAGAAACCCTTACTATTTGTATTTCTGTTTTTAATTTTTTGTATATTGGACGTTTGTCACGTTCCTGATTTTTTTTTTTGTTTATAGGGGCCTACAACCCCATCCGTTTACAGTTGCTTTTTTGTCCAACGAAAATGTTTGAAAAACCGTCCCGGGTTCGGACCCGTCAAGGGGTTTGGACCAGGCAAAGGGCGGGC